AAAGAGCGTGTATCCAGTTCCCATAAATCACCAAAAGCCGAGGTCATTGGGTGAAGAAATAAAATTCCGCACTTCATCCGAGGGCATGAGACGGAAGCCCATCGGATTGCCTGCTCCACACTCCACGAGCATCCCCAGAAGGCAACCAACGTCAAACACACAAATAACCGTCCACAATCACACACACACGCAAAATGGGGGGGTAAAATAAAAATGGACAAAAAAAAACAAAAAACAAAAAACAAAAAACAAACAAAAAATCCGGTTTTGGAAACGGGGAAAAAAAACAAAAAAAAAAAACAAAAGACAAAAGACAAAATGCCCCTCTTCCTTCTCTTTTTTTCTTTTAACTTCTCTTTTTTTTTTTTTTTTTCAACGCACACCGCAAAAAAAAAAGCAAAAAAACAAAAAACCAAAGCGGAAGAGAAAAATAATAAATAAATAAATAAATAAATAAATAAAAAAGAGTGGGATTTCAATCAGTGAAAAAAAAAAAAAAAAAGAAAAGAAAAGAGGGAACTTTCTTTTTTCTTCTTTTCTCTTCCCCTCAAGCTCCTCCCCCCTTTTTTTTTTTTTCTTTTTTTTTTGCTCCCCCTCCTCGTTTAAATGAAGACCAATGAACAAATGTTTGCGTTAATAAAACAACACGCACACACACACGCACAGTGAGAAAAGAGTGAGAAAAGAGTGAAAAGAGAAGCAAAAACGGCAGTAATAAAAAACGTGTGGTAATTAAAACACGCAAACCAAAAAAAAAAAAAAAAAAACAAAAAACAAAAGGAAAAAAAAAGTATTTTTGTAAGCAAAAGTTCAAAGCAGTAATATTATTTATAAACACACACACACGCACGTATTTTGTATGTGTATTGGTATCCTTGTAATGTAATGTAATGTAATGTTGTTATGTATACAATTCAGTTTCCCCCCCCTCCCTCCCCTTCTCTGTTTGGCGATAAAAATAAAGTCAAAGATATTCCAGGTACTATCTGGTCCAACCACACAAACACGCACAAGCGAGATAAACAGAGAGAAACTCAAAAAAAGAAAAAAAGAAAAAAAGGTACAAATCCGCAAACAGTTAAAACCAGAAAAACAAACAACAGTTAAGAACAAACAACACACACACACACACGAATGAATGTGTTTTCCTCTTCTTCTTCTTCTTCCTGCTGCTGCTGCTGCTGCGCACAAACAAAAAACTTCCCACCCCCCGCCCTTTTTTTTTTCTTCTTTTGTCGCTTTTGTTTTCTTTTCTTCTCTTCTTTGCTATTTTGCAGCCGCCCCCTGATATAAATAAATATATATTTTTATACAAACACGCACACACTCGTGGGTTTTTTTTTTCTTCTGTTTTTTTCTCCTTTTTTTTTTTTATTATTTGTTTTCTTTTCCTGCACCTCCCGTTGTTATTCGTGCGGGCGTCTTCCTTTTCTAACTTTTCTTTTTTCTTTTCTTTTCTTTTTTTTTTTTTTTCCGCGTCTCGCCGCCCCGCCTCAATCAAAACCACCACCCGCACAGAAACGCCGGGGCGATGGCCGCAAGATTACGTGTGGGTGTTGTTTTGTGCGGAGGGACGAAATGCAGCCGTGGAGTTCTCCCACGCGTCCCACACACGAAAAAAAAAAAAAAAAAAAAACGCACAGAAACTGTCAGTCAACAAACAACAAACAACCGAAAAGGAAGTGGCGCTCCTCTTTCTCTCTCACGGAACCAAAGACAAAAAACAAACAAACAAACAAACAAACAAAAACAATGACAAAATCCAATGAACCGGCGGAGAACACCTGCAAGCGGTGTGAGTGCGTGCAAGATATATATCTATATATCTATATATCTCACTCTCAGGGAAGAAAAAGAGGGATTCCCACTTCACAAATTCACCCCCTCCGCTTTTCTTCCTGCCTGACTGCTTGCTTTACTTCCGTCCCCCTAACCCTCGCCCCCTTCTCCCTCCAACCGCCTGGAGGATGATGTGGCAGCAGATGGGCGACCGGGTAGACGGGTCCGTATTATCCCCTTTTTGACCTGCGGCTGCACTTCCGCCACGCAGGCACACAAAGACAACCCTTCTCTTTTATTCCTTCTTTTTTTTTTATTCTTCTTTTCTTTTCCCCCCTCCCTCCCTGTGGGCTCTATGATTGCTGTGTGGGGGATAAGCCTTCGGTATGTTTAGATCCAACTACTGGCGGGCATGCGCACACAAGAGCAAAGAGCAAAGAGAAAAAGAGAAAAAGAAAGATCCAAACAGAAGGCAGTAAGAATTGAAGGAAAAGAAAAACAAACAAACAAACAAACAAACAAACAAAAAAAAGAAAAGAAATGAAGATTGGGGAAGCGCGGAGTCATGGCCGGGTTAATTCTGTGAAACCCCCTTCCTCTCCCTCTCTTTCTTTCCCCTTTCCCCTTTCCCCCCCCGAAGAAAAAAAAAAAAAAGTCAATAGAGAAATAATAAAAAAAAAAAAAAAAGGAAGAGAAAAAGAGAGGAAAACCCACCCACCCACACAGAGAGAGAGAGAGAGAGAGAGAAAGAGAGGGACGGCAGTTCGCTCCCCTTCATTTCTCTGATGTCCATCAGGACAAATGTCTTTATTTTTTTTTTTTTTTCCCCCTTTTTCTTCTCCTTCCAGAAACAACCAGACATGCTCTGCAGTCGCGGTGTGTACATGCGTGCAGGGCACGTGTACAAAACGCAACCACAACCACAACAAAGCCAACCACAGAAATATCTGTCAAGGCCATGTAGATTATTTCACACCCCATTCATCACAAAAACAACAATAACAACGACAACGACAAATTTACTTTCCATTTCTTTTTTTTCTTTTTCTTAAAAAAAAAACAAAAACAAAAACCGCACATCTACAGTCTCCAAACACGCACGAAGAAAGGAATATTAGTACTAACAATAACAATAACAATAACAATAATATTAGTAGTAGTCGTAGGAGTAGGAGTAGTCATAACAACAGTAAAGGGGAATGTCAAAAAAAAAAAAAAAGAAAAGTGCGGTGGAGCTCAGAACCAACCAGCCAAAAAACGCGCGGAAGTAAATAAAATGTATAAATATATAAATTTGTGCCACGAAGAACTCAAAATGCCGCATGCGCACTCCTTTTCTTCTATTTTCTTTTCTCTTCTGTTTTTTTTTTCTTTTTTCTTCCATTGTGGGCAGGTGTTAAGAGGGGGAGGGGAAGCGGGAGCGGGAGCGGGGGACTTTTGTGAGAAAAAAACAAAACAAAAAAAAAAAAAAAAAGCAAAAAAACTGAGGAAAATAAGAGGAGACGAAAGGGGGAGAAAAAAAAAACAAAACAAAACAAACAAAAAAAAAAAAATCAGTTGATGCATAAAGAAACAGGGGAGTCGACCAAAATAGACCCGCTATCATCTCCTTTGCTCCATCCGATCGCCCATTTACTTCCAAAAGCCTCAGAAATAAAACAAAAACAAAAACAAAAAAAACACCACCAAAACCACAACGACGTTCGCTGCGGGGGTCACGGGGTTCCCTTCCCGCTCGCGGGGAGGAGAGTCATGGAGGAGACACACGCCTTCGTTCCTCACCACACGCGCCTCAAAGTCAGTCGCCTCGTCCCGCAGAGAAACAACACAAATAGCCGGAGGCCAGAGAGGGGGAGAGGGGGAGAGGGAGGGAGACACTGCGGTGAATCCCCTCCCATTCCCTCTTTTCCCTTCTTCTTCTTCTTCTCAAAAGACACACGCAGAGAAAAACACACGCACAAACAAACAAAAACAAAAACAAAAACAAAAACGACGGCAAAAAAAAAAAAACAAAAAAAAAACAAAAAAAAACAAAAACCAAAACAATAACACGCTCTCTATCTTTCGCTTCAACAATTATAAGACACAAAGGTACATGTAGGCATATCTTTATTTATATATAAATAAAGATATATAAAGTTATATATATATATGTGCTTACATGTGCAGGGTATACATTACAAAATATGTGATTGACTGACAACAACAACAACAAAAAAGGTAAGAACGGAGGAACTCAAATGTGAAATAAAAAAAAAAAAAAAAAAAAAGAGTAGGGCACAGCCGAGGGGAACACAGCGGGCCCACACACAAAGATTTCTCCCTCTCCCTCTCTTTTTCTTTTGTTTGTTTGTTTAACTTCCGAACGTATTAATTTAGAAACATATTTATATGTGTCTTCCTGTTTGTGTCTTCCTCCTCTTCCCTCCTCCTCCTCCTCCTCGCCGCTTCCCAAAGTCCAGTTGACATGTGACTGAAGGACTCAAAAACAAAAACAAAAACAAAAAAAAAACCAAAAATTCATCGTGAACGACAAACGCTGCAGAAAAACCAAAAAAAAAAAAAAAAAAAAAAAAAAAACAAAAACAACACAAAACTAACAAAAAACAACACAAAACTAACAAAAACAACACAAAACAACACATCCCCTCCAGACATACGCACGCACGCACGCACAGAAGTTAAATCGAAGAATAAACAAACCAAAAGGAAAAGGAAAAACAACACACAAGTTGGAAGTCAATGAGAAGTCCACCCAGTAACATCTAAACAAAACAAAACAAAACATAAACTTCACACTCAGAAAGAAAAAAAGAAAAGAAAAGAAAAGAAAAGAAATATCTCCCAAGAGAGAGAGGATGCTTCTTTTTTATTTTCATTATTATTTTGATAGCCAAAAGGAAAATTAGCGCACGTGATGGAATGTGTATGCGCAATTTCAAAAAACAAAAACAAAAACAAAACAAAAACCACAAAAAAAAACGCAAAACAACGACGAAGAGAAAGAAGGAAAAACAACAAACAAAAAACAACAACGAAAATAAAAGAAGGAGTGTCACATATATATATATTTATATATATATGTGTGTGTGTGTGGTTATATATATATAAGTATATAAGTATGTGTGTACCAAAAATAGTGGTGTCACCAAACGGAATTCTCAAGAGCACCTGAGAATTGTAGTCGTCGTCGTTAAACGCTATTGAAGTCCTCCTCTTCGCAGAAACGCACCTTCTCCATCAAACTGCATGCCACGATTGAATTTATGGGCCTTGTTGTTGTTGTGGTTATTGTACGGGTATTGGATGTTGTATTGCCTCCACTTGCCACGTCCAGTTCCATTTCGCCGTTTGTCGACATTTCGTGACTTTTCAAAAAAATGTCTATCCCACCATTCATTGCACTCTTTCAGCCACAGACTCATGTTTTCCCGCGTCTGCTCCGCTTTATTTGGCAGCGTAGGACACGGCTCTTCCAACTCCAAGCGAACGCCCTTGTTGTTGCTGATGTTCACGGCACAACTGCCACCGAGCCAGGCAGAATAGTCCTCATTTAGAAGTGCCTTGATGCGCTCGTACCATCGACGTACCGGATTGTACAACATTAAAAGGGGAAGCTGAGGATTTTCCCCTTCCAGTATACTCATCGCCTCACACCGCACAGGGGGCGGAAGCATCTTTGAGAATCGCAGCAGTGGGGTCCTGGCTTTGTTGTATGACACATATGTTGGCTGTATCGTTCGTGACTCCATGACGTAAGGGTAAGGAGATACAGTTGGCTGATTCTGCGAAACAAATAATGGCGTGGGGTACAGCTGCTGTTGCAGTTGCTCGTTTCTTGTTGGCTTGCTCGCATCAAAGACGACATTTTCTTCATTGTTCATCTCATTAAGAGGCCACACCTCCCCAACGGGATGTATCGAAGCGTACATGGGAAGGCCGTGCATCATGTTATCAAATTGGGGCACGCAGGTGGATTCCGTGATGGAGTTCTCCTCAATGGAATGGGAGGCGGTCAACAAGGCACGTCCACTCTCGCTCTTCACGCTTGAAAACTGCGGCGAAAGTTCACAGCGTGACATAATCGCCGGGGTTTCACACCCAAATGTGTGCATGGGCGATTGCACCGTTGAAGACGACGTGTTGCTGCACCTCGCCATGCATTGTCCCTGACGCGGCGTCAGTGCGATTGGACACGGCCCAGAAACGGAGGCGGAGTTGCATTCCTCTTGGGCAACCTTAAGGCGCTGCGACCTGTTCTCGGTTTCAAGCCTATAGTATGGATTCCAGGAGTACTTGTTTTCCGCGGAGTACGTCACATTTGGCCCGGGAGAGAAATTGACACGGCACCTGCTGCGCACCGTGTAGAAAGTGAGACTTGCATTTCCGTGCGGTGGCCGCGTCTCGGAGCGCTCGTGCGGCTGAAACGGGCATTGGTCGGTGGACACAATTGGGCTGACGAGAGGACACGGAAGCGATTCGTGCAGCGTTGCTCCGTGATGCATGCTTTCCAACGATGTAAATGAAAAGAAGAACAAAAACAACAAAACAAAAAAACAAAACAAAAACAGCGAAAGCCTTACTTTCTTTTGTTTCTTTTTTCTTTTTTACTTCTTATATTTCCTCTGCTTTCGTTCTTTCTTTTTTTTGTGTGTTTTTTTTTTTTTGTTTTTTTCCCCCACCTTTTGATTGCGCTCGGTTCTTTATGTGATGTGATATCGTCCCTTTGTTAAAAACTATTCCCTTCGCCCCAACAACCGGGCAGCCACGCTGAAATACAAATAAATATTTGTGTGTGTGTGTTAAAGGCCGCAGGAAGAGAGAGAGAGAGAGAGAAAGGAAGGAAGGAGCAGACATGAGCGGGTAAAGGCACACACAAAAAACAAAACAACAACAACAAAAAAAAAAACAAGAAGGGGGGAACTTAAGAGGAGAGCGAGAGGAGCGTCGGACATGTCCGCCACGCAGGATCCGCCGGATGCACACACCAAACACCGCACAATACATAACATACCATTCTCTTTTCTTCCCTTGGCACAAGCCGCTGCGGGAAATGAGCCACAGCGCAAGTTGACTCCCTAAAAAACAAACAAAAAGACAAAACCACGCAGAAAAGGCGTCCCCCACCCCGCCAAGACACACACACACACACACACGCTCACCTCCGCGTCGTAACACATTGGAACCCGCCATGCCCCAAAGAAAAGGGAGAGGAAACACTGATATGCAAGGTAGAAAAAAAAAGAGGTACGCACGTGACAAATGAATAGGAGTTACACGGCAGCCAACAAAGACATACATGCATACATACAAAAACAAATAAAGACAAATAAACAAACGAAGCTCCCCAAGACATAATGTAACAGAAAAGAAAGTAACGAAAGGGGGCGGTGGAATAAAAACTGGCATGTATTTTATTTTTATGTTTATTTTTCTATTCATTTAACAATAAAGCGAATAAATAAATAAATAAATGGAAAATGAAAGAAAAAAATATATATATATATATGTATCTAAAAGAAATAATGATAATAATAACAATAATAATAACAAACAAACAACAACGAACGTCTTCCTTAAGAAATTAAGGCGCAAATCACCCTTGTGCACCTATTTACATCGCGTCAGGTGGGAGAACACGAGCCTCCACACGTTCGCCCAGATAGAGCTCATCACACCGCAGCCCAATAGGACTATATATATATATATAAAGGGGGGAAGAAAATTTCATGGATACATAGAGCCGACACCGCCTGCAGGCAAATGATAAATGCTCGCAGCTTCGTAGGTCGGAAAGAAGCCTCGCCTGTCGCACCGCTGTACAAACTGAAATTCACGTTGTTGGATGTCATAATGATGGTGACCTTTCCAACGGGGATTCATGTGCTGCCCCGGTTGTTGATGTTCCTGCTGCCAATAATTATACCGCTGCTGATACCGTGGCATACGGTTCTGGCGATAATAATGCGGCTGTTGTTCCTGTTGTTCCTGTTGCTGCCTTTGTTGCTTCTGCTTCCGATTTTGGTGTTTTTTTTTTTTTGGTGGTAGGGGCGGCGGTGGTGGCGGTGGTGGCGGTGGCTGGTGCTGAATATTGTGCCCCAGATTCCTCCGCTCCTTCTCCTTCCATTCCTGCAACTCGTGCTTCTGCTTCTCCAACGAAAGATCGGAGAAAGGGATGGTGGTGCGCTTGTACCAGTTCCGCACACGATCCACGTCGGTGGACTTGATGACCGGGGCGTACGGGTCCCATGAAAATTTAGTGAAACACGGCGAGAACTGCACGGCAAGCATTTTCGGCCACTTGTAGTCGTCGTCGCCGACGTCAGGCTTCCTTCGCCTCTCCGGTGGGGCGTCAACTGCGCCGCCGCCGCCGCCCTCCTCGGCCCACTCGCACGCCAAAAGTTGCGGGGCTTCAACCGGCTGGTTGTCCGCTTCGCAAAGCGGCGCCACGACCCGCGACCCCGGCGAGTTTTCCGACTCCATTTGATGACCGCACACACACACACACACACAATAAATAAATAAATGCCGACACCGCCAGGCTAAGCAACTTGTTACTCCTTCCGGTCTGCAGAAAAGCAAAAACAAAAAGAAAAAGAAAAAGAAAAAAACAATCGGTGATGCACGCAAACACTGGGAGCAACGGCAGGCACAACAACAACAACAAAACAACAACTACAAAAACAACCACAAAATACACCACCTCCTTATTTTTCTTCTGCGCTCTCGTTCTCATATGGTTGGCTCTGGACGATGGTGCGTCCAATTAGAGACCCACCGCACACTGCACTAAACAAGGCAACAAAAAGGAAGGAAAAAAAATAAGAAAAAAACTAAAAAACTTCTCATTCAGTCATTCACGCCTGACAAATGGCGGAGCGCATGTCACCACCAAACGTACTGCCTCAGGGAAGATCGCGTCCGCCTTCTTTTGCATCTTGGCACCGGCCTTATGTGCATCTTCCAACCATTCCTGCCGCACCACCTTGTCATCAGGACACAACATAAGACCCATGGTTCGGCGGAGCATCGATTCCTCCAGTAGCACCGCCCTCACCCAATCCCCCGCCTGCTCCCGCAGCGTTCGCTCCCCCCATCGTGGAACTTCTCGTGGGGTTGACGACGCATCGTCGGAGGAAATGGAAAAACACTTCATGGACGGTAGCCGGGTTCCCTGCACACTCACATGGGGTGTGTTTTCTGAAGGTTCGACGGTGACATCACCGCCGTGTTGAATTCCTCTATTGCGCACCACAGTTGTATCGGAAGGAGCGGCACAATCCACATGAATGCGCACATCGTACAGCTCTCCGCTAGGCTCATCCTCAGTACGGCCACCAAAGAGAAAAAAACGAAAGCCTGGCATCACAGGATCCACACACATAGCTGCCATTGTACGGCCCTCTGGCAATATGGAGACAATATTCTTTATCAACTTCCAGTTCTGAGAGCCCTCAGCATTATCCTCCTGATTTACATGCCATAATTCTGTCTTCATCGCCTCCCCATAACACTCACGCTTCTGAAAGGATTTATTACCAGTCTTCCTGAAATAACCCACAGGAAAAGATGACGGCAAACAGCCAACATCTACAAATGCCTCTCGCCATATATGACGCATGTAATTGTAAACATGCACGTCTTTATGCGTTTCTATCATTCCGCGACTGTCGTACGTAAATCCACCAAGAACGAAAATGTCCAAGCCACGTGTCACCATCACAGCACCCGTACGCCAGAGCGCGGAGCTATTAAAATGCCTACATCTGTGCGGGATTGTTATCGGCATTCTACATCGCCTACTATCCCTTCTCATTAAGAGAAGATTCTCAACATACTCCATAATACGTGCCCCCGGTTTTTTGTCATATGGACGCAGGAAAAATTCCCGCATGAATCGTAAGGGCGTTTCTTCCCGCACCATGATCCACTGTCGTGTATATGCATTGAGTACCCACATATCGTTATAGAAGTAAATGCCATCGCGTCCACCAAACACAAAGAAAAAGAAATCTCTACAGACCGTAGAACACGCCCTTCTTCTACCGGGAAAGACAGTGGCTCCTAATGACGGCAGGATCTGCAACAAACGCTTCTCCCCTTCGCCGTACTGTAGTTTTCCAGAAGAAGGCGGTGGAGTCGTCAGGTATAAAAAGTACGTGGTGTTATAAGCCTCTGTGTCATTCATCCCACCAAACACAACCACCACCTCAACACGACGTTGCTCTCTTTTACGTGCTGCTGCTGCTGCTGCTGCTGCTTTTTTCGACGATAACGATGGCGGCAGTCGCTTCGTGGTGCCGTCCTCGCAGACCGGAATAAACAGCGTTTGCGCCACCGATCCCCACATGGACGGTAACGGGGTGGTGAGATTTATTTTTGTCCACAGTCGTCGCTCAATGTCCAGCTGGAAGGCGGGAGCGGTGCCGCCATCCCCGCTCTTAACACCCCCGTGCACAAATAAAAAACGCCCACCTCCAAATAAAGTGCCACTCTGACCAAATGCCTTCGGTGGCATCCCGTCATCCACCACTTGATCCGCATCAGTTTCACCCCCACCGCTCACTGCCGAGCGGCGGGCCGGACCAGGCACACCACGACAAATGAGCTGCACCCACCGCTGCTCGTCAATCAAATATTCCCACGTGTCATTCAGAAAACCCTCCGGCCCAACCTCCAGCCCGCCATGCAGAATAAGGCTTCGACGGGGAGCGCATGGGAGCAAGAGATGACCGCTGCGCGGCGGTGGTACCTGATGCAGTGGCTGACGCAACTCCTCGGATGTATGTAAACCAAACGATGCGGTCACACTCGAGCTTCGACACGCTGCTGCTGCTGCTGCTTTTGCCCCTGATGATGATGGCTGCACCGAGGCCATCTTTTTCCCCTTTCCAGGGGACTCTGACAATCCCGGTTCTCGCGTCGATACCAAATTATTCGTGGCATCGTCATGAAGCCGGAAAAAAGTGACATGATACTTCGCCTCCAACTCCTCCGCCATGAAACCCCCCGTTCCAGAAGGGGGCTCTTCGTAATATAAACCCCTATTCCGCACGGGAATTGGCATTTTTTCCTTTTTTTTTTTTTTTCGTTTCTCCTATTCCCCCCTCAACTTCTCGCCCTCTTCTGCAATTATATATATATATAGGAGTGCCAACAACAGAAATCACCGGTATGGCGACAAATTTGCCCTTGACACCTGGCCCTAACTTTTATTTGTTTCCTTTTCTCTTCTTCTCGTTTTTGCTGTTGTCCTCTCCCTATTCTCTTTGCATTATGAATACCCCCGCATCATAACACGCATGTATGCATGCGTATCCACGTATGTTTGTGAAGAAAAAAAGATGCAAAAACAACAACAAAAAAGAAAAAAGAACGATCCGGTGTAGGAGAGAAATACAGAATTCTGCATAAACGCCACGAAAAGGCAGGCATGTATGCACGCATTTATGTCTCCAATGGAAAAAAGGGGAGCCGCACCCTTTTTTTTTTTTTCTTCCCTTCATTCTCTTTTCTTTTTTCCGTCAGTTAATACCGGAGAACACGACAAGACGACAACGCGTAGATACACACACACACACACCAACACACACCAACACGCACCAACACACAAAAAGGAAAGAAAGAGCAGCGGGCTGCCTCCACACGTTGATGTGTCCGAGGACATTGAAGTGTCGCAGCCACCCCCCCCTTTTTTTTTCTTTCTGCCTCTGTTGGCCGTACAAAACACAAAACAACAACAACAAGAAAGAAAGAAAGAAAGAAAAAACCACCAGCTCTCACTTCAGTTTTTCCCTTTCCCTCCACTTGACTCCTTTATTTTCCCCTCCACCACCGTGCTGTGCATCCCCGTCTTCCCGCGTACACTCACTCACTCACTCGCACACAAAAACAGGACTGCGGTGAGTCAAAGGGAGGAGCAAATGACAAGAGAGTCACAGCACCAATATAAAAAAAAAAAAAAAAAAAAAAAAAAAAAGAAGGGGAAAGAAAAAATTAAAGCAAAACAAAATGAGAACCATCACTTTCACTTTCATTGAATATCAACATAATGAACTGTAATATAAATATCCATCCATCTAATATATTTATTATATATAAACAACATTGTATTATTTTCAGAAAAGTGACGAGGCATCCATCAAAAAGAAAAAAAAAAAAAAAAAAAAGAAAAGGGGGATGTGGGGGAGCCAAATTTCGCAGCCATAAAAATGTGAGTGCCCACCACCCACACACACATATATATTATAAATATATTATAAATATATTGTGCAATTGGGGAGAGCCAACAGCGCACATACACACACAGAAAAACAAGATAAAACAAATAAATAAATAAATAGCACACAGGTAATATAAACAAATATATAAATAAATAAAACTGACCGAACGCACTGCAAATGGAGAGGGAGGAAGGAGGCAAGATGCATACGTGTCTGTGCGTGCGTGAATTGACTCGTGTTGGTCACAAAAAAAAACAAAAACAAAAACAAACAAACATCAAAAAAGAAACAAAGGTACCAGCAGGGAAATGGGTATTAGTATTATTAGTGGTGGCGGTGGTGAGGGAAGAAACATATCGACGCTTCCCAAAAAAAAAGAAAAAGAAAAATAAGGCAGATGGTCTGCACGCGTGTGTGTTTGTGTGCATGGGGGGGGTGGTGGTGGTGGTGGGAAATGAGGAATGGGGCCGCAGCACAACAGTGCGCACACGACGGCAAGAGGAGGGAGAGGGGAGAGGCGGCGGGGGTAATTTGTGACAAAAGTACAAAAAACAAACAAAAAGATACATGAAGCCTACACACATACATGCATACATATATATATATAAAGGATAATAAGAATTCCCGCCCCCTTTCCCCTGATCCGCAGCACACACACACAAAAAAAAAAAAAAAAAATAGACATACACATGCATGCCAGACCAAATCCTCTCCCCTTTCTCTCCCTTCTTCCGCCACCCGGCATCCCATCCCGACCACGGCAGCGGGTAAAAGTACAAACAAACAAATTTTCAAAACAAACACACACACACACAGATAAAAGAAAAAAAAAAAAAAAAGAAATGCTTGGCATTGGGAAAAGCAAGTAAAAAACAACAAAAAAGGCTACGCGCCTGGCTGGGGGTTTGATCCCATTCCTACAAGAAATAAAAGTACAGCAGTAATAAATTACAGTTTGGCATCCGTGCGCCCGACACTCCCCCACCTCCCTTTTCCCCGCACACACGCACACATGCGGAGTCTCAACGACGTTCTCTGGCAACCGGGCTCGCCGTGAGCGCACAAGGTGCCAGTCGTCGTTACTGCGGCCCCCTTTCCTCCACGTGCAGGGCGGGGTGGAACGGAGGGAGGGAGGGAAAACAAAAGACAAAAAAACGAACCGCACTCCAACGTGGCGTCATATAATTAATCCCTTCTGGCCGCACGCTCTTCCCTCACATCTCTAAAAAAAAACAAACACGTGCGCCATTTGGGTACAAAATGTGCAGGCAAAAAATCAAACAAACAAAAAACAAATCCATATAAATATATAAATATATATGAAGCATAATAATAATAATATATATATATATATGTACACTTATATATATTATTATATAAACCAACAAGGGTGGTATTTACCTCCCCCCAAAACAACAACAACAACAACAACAAAAACAACGTATCGCACTGTGTGTAACAATTAAAATACATGCCTTATACAGCGACATATTTTTTCATATATGTTTATATATTGCAGCCCCTCTTTTTTTTTTTTCTCTGTTTCTCCCTCTCTTTACTGCACTCGATTCCCCTCCTCCCCTCCCCTCCCCTCTTTTATTATCATTATTTTTTTCTTTCATGACGGTGATTCAATTAAAACCTGGCGAACACATCAACTCGCATGTGAGCACTTCGACAACACACTGAAAACTCGATTGGGGTGGTGCCCGCCTTCCTTTTTTTTTTCCGTTTCTCCCTCTCTGAAGGGGGGCGGGGGGGGTAAAAAAAAGGAAAGAGAACAAAAAAAAACAAAAACAAAAGCCCTCGTACGTGCTGAAGACTACATTCGTCATTCAAATGCACGTGCGCCATAAAAAAAAAAAAAAAAAAAAGAAGTCTCATGAAATCTGCGTCCCATCAACTTGGAAAAAAGAAGAAAAGAAAAAACAAATTTCTCGCCTTTGCTGCGTGCACTTGTATTAAATTTAAACAAAGTCCAAATAATCTATTTTTTTTTTTTTTCTCCTTTCATAAGCATACATTATTCATATATAGGTGGTATATAGGTATGTATATGAACGTACAAGAAAATTTCTCTCCATTTCTTCCTCTTCCCGCTTCACCGGTCATCCTCCAAAATTGTTATAGCACAGCCAGGTACCAATATGTTACCAAGATACACACACATATATATATGTGTATTCTGAGGGACCAGACCAAAGCTGGGGAGGCAATAATAACAATATCTGTCAGTTCTTTACACACGCACACACAGACAGACACACACCCCATTAAACACCATATTAAACAATAAGTAGGCGGGGAAGCCGGTGGATTACAAAAAACGAAGAAAAAAAAAATTTGGATACTGCAAAAATGGCTGTGTATTCTGTGCAAAAGAAAAGAAAAAATCAATTAGCAAACTTAAGGGCCCCTTTTTTTTTTTCTTTTTTTGTAATCCTCTTCGTTCATTATCATCATCGATTCACTGAAAGAAACTCTCCATTCTGGCATGAACAAAGAAAATAAGAGTTCACTCACCCTTGAGCCAGAATTAATCCCATATATATATATATATAAATATATAAATATGCCATGTACATATCCATACAAATGTCATTTATGAGTCCGTGCCGTTGTGCTTCCCCTCCATCACCACTATCCTTGGATCTCTCTCTAACATCCCTGTCGGGCTGACTGCGGCAGCACCATCATGCATCTTGTTACAGGCAGGGGAGGCATTCACCCCAACGTGCGTCGCATTTGGAGCATTCAAAGAATTCACAACGTTTTCCATATCCGACTGCCTTCCACCTGGGTAGTAACAATACTGCGGCGGCTGGGCCTGCTGTTTCTGGGAAAAAAGGAATGGTAGCTGTTGTTGCTGCTCATTCCTGGCAAGCACAATAAGTCGCGCCAGAACCTCAAGCTCTTGCATGTTCATCCCCGTCATGCTTCCCGGCGCCGGATTTGGGATCGGCGCTGAGGGCAGAAACTGGGCACCAAGATCATTCATATGCTGAAGCTGCTGATCAAAGCGCATAACGGCCGCGGGGTCAAATATACCAGGGGCGGCGCATGGCGGGGGAAGCCCCATAAATGGAGGCTGCGACGGCAGCTGGATTCCCCACGGTGCACAGAGTGCTGGTGGCTGCTGGAATGGTTGTTGCTGTTGTTGTGGTTGCTGCTGCGGCAGCAGTGGCACACGCAGCCTGTCATTAAAGGGGGGCGCATTATTTGCGGCAAAAGGGTTAGAATAAGGAGGAATTGTCAACTCCACACCTGCTGGAGGCACAGAAGCCCCCGCGTAGGCAAACTGATATGCCAAAGGGTGCGCAGCTGCGCCAGCTGATAGGGAAGGAGCCGCTGCGGTTGGTGCTGTGAAGAACTGCTGGGGTGCGTGCGGCAGCTGTGGTAAATGTATGGCGTTGGCATCGATGGGAGGAATTCGCATAGAAGATGCATTGCCTCTAGACCCTCTGGATCGTGAGCCACCGTTACCCGAGGTTCGCCTGGATTTCGTGTGTCGCACCTCCTCCTTTTCTCGCTCCCGTTGCCGTTGTTTCTCCATGTATGCTGCAAGTTCCTCCTCCGTGAAGACACGATGTGCCGTCACACCCACCATGGCGGGTCGCCGCTTTACTTCGCCTTCTTTCGTCGCTGCGGCCTTCCCCTCTTCACTAATGGCATCCTCTCCCGTACGTGGCTGGGGCTGTGAAGATGTCTCAGCATTCGCAAATGAGGTGATGTCGTCCCCACCCGTACGCCTGTCGGCGGTTTCTTCCTTGGCGGGTGTGGTTTCTCGGGGTGCTACCGCAGGCGGAGTGTGTGGTCCCTCCGCAACCTCCTTCGTCTCAGTCCCTGCGGGGGAGCCGTTTGAGAGACTCTTTGCTTCCATGGGCTCTGGCGCGTTAACGCCTGCGTCACTGCTGGCAATTTCGCCCTCTTTTTTCGCCACCACCACCACCACCACATCATCTGTCTCCACCTGCAGCACCCCCTCCTCCTCTTCCTTGCGGGAGGTGGGAGAAGACACGGTGCCATTTTGTCCTCTATGACCGTTTACTGTCATGATTGCCGCCGATGGGAGCGAAGTCTCGTCCATTAAATACCGTCACACTGCGGAGAGACACGTACAAACACAACTTCTCTCCCGTATTTTTTTGTTTTTTCCCTCTCTTGTCGCCCACAGACCTCCACGTTTACGCTTGTGGTTCACTCTTTCTCTCTCTCTATTCTCCCTGCAGGTCACCCCTTATTATTTCTCTTCTTGTGTCGTAGCAGGATAACGTTTCCTCCCCTCTCTCTCTATATATATATATATATATATATTTCTTTTCTCCCTACGTGTGGGTATTTCACTAATTATCGGTAACCAACCCCACCACACCCCAGGAGAGAAACAAACACAAAAACCACAACAACAAAAACAACAAAAATATGAGAGAAAATAGAAGCGCACAAAGCTAACACCACATCATTCATAAACAAAAAGACGGTGGCAGGGAAAGGAGACACAAAAGTTGCAAATAAACAAATCCATCAACCATCATTTCCCTTTTTTTTTCTTTTTCATTTTTTGGGGGCGTCACTGGACAGCAGTGTGTGTGTGTGTGTGTGTGTACACGGTCTGTCGTGTATCCATTTGCACCAGCAGATCACATATGCTCCCCCCAGAAGAAACAAAGAGAGAAGAAGCAAGGGGGGAAAAAAAGAAAGATGTATACTTGGGTAATGCGCTCATCCTTTTAAAAGAACACACGGGCAAGTGGCTCAACGCAGACGCAGAGACAGGTATATGAATATCGTTACACAAATACATGCAACGAAAAATAAATGGATGCTATCGCATGAAAAAAGAATTAGGACTTGATCGTGCGGAGGGCACGCAGCGCTACTTCAGCTGCTGCATTTTCTGCATCCCTTCGTGCTGTGCACCACTGAGGCCCCTTAAACGTCGCAACACCACCCTTCTTGTTGAGCAGTGGAAGTTCAACCGTCGCCAAGTAACTGCGAGGACCTTTGCGGCCCTTGCGACCGCCAGTCGCCTCCAACTGCTGCTCCTCCACTAAAAAAATAACAGACTTGTGCACAGGCGTGTGTGGCCACCGCGCGGCGCACTCCTCTTTCAGCAATTCACTCATATACTTCTTCTCTCGTAACTCCTCCCGTGTTTTGCGAGCCTCTGCAGTAGGGCCTACGATGACGTTGCTGCTGGGGTGCGGTTTCCTCACCATGGACGGCGGTGGGACGGCGGGAGCGGTTGCAGCTGTCGATAATCCCGCATCCGCCCCCATCGCCGTTGTTGCTGTTGTTGAGCCGCCAACACCGTTCGCCTTCTCACTATTCGCCATTTCGTTGCTGTTCGTGTTGTTTTTTTTAATGTCACGTCGCGCAAGTCCAGTGAGGGTTCCATCTGTTCGCTGCACCGCCTTATGTTCCTCCAGCAGCTCCCTCACAGCCACCCAGGCAAATCGCAGTTGGTCCAACTGCACGTACGTGAAGCAGCGCAGAAGCTGCTTGTCCTCGTAGCAGCAAAGAAAGTGCCCCCCTCCCTTTTCTTCCTGCAGAGGCGAAAAGTATTTTCCCGGGGTCTCCACAAGCGCACGTGTGATGCTGCGTGGGCCCCGTGGCGTGGGAAAACGGAATGTTTGTACCGTATACAGCAGGGCGCCGTTTGGGATGACTTTGCTCTCTCGTGTGAAGAAGGACTCAAAATGTGGAAGAAGTCTTCTCGTCTCTCGCACCTCCGCAGAGACATCCTCGCCCACGCTGCCACGCGGTGTCCCATTGGCCTCATCCTTCTCTCTGCTGACCTGCTTCGGCAGCCATCCCGCCAACTGAAACACCGGCAGTAGCCACCGCAGCGCGCTGAAGATACCGACGGCGGGCACCACCTCGTCTCCCGCCTCCTCACCCTGCCGTGCAAACACGATCGGGTACTCAATGGGGCATGCTGGAGGCGCGGGGACATCCGCCGCTGCTGTTGTCCTCGCAGCCATCTTTCCTTTTTCTTTTTCCCTCCCTCTCCCCTTCGATACAACGTCCTTGACCCAAAAAGAGAGAGAGAGAGGGGCAACGATACACGGGAACACACACACACACAAACAAACAAATAAATAAACTCGAGCATAAGATGGATGCGTTGAGTGATGGCGATTGTAGCCAAAAGAGGAAAATATGGAGAGTAAAAGCAGTCATTTCTTTTCCATTTCCATTTGTATACACGTGCAGTCTTAGGCACAGATACATTCATACATGTATACGCATTCATATTTATCCAGGCAAAGAATCCAAAGCAAAAAAAAAAAAAAAAATAACAACAACAAATCTATCGTTCTCCCCCCTCTCCAAAGACACGCATACACACACAAATACACACCACTTTTCTCGTCTTTTTCTGTCCATCAATTTTATGGCTTGCAGAGCTCCCTCGCCCTTTGCCTCAATAGCATCATTCGCACCAAAGTCAAGATCACCTACGCAGTTGTATGATTGAAGTGGGACGTCTCCAGCCAATTCTTCCCTTTCTCCCCGTTGTTAAGCAAATAAATTCATCGTGCTGATCATCCCATCTTCGTCCCCCGTCGGTCCAAACGCCATCCAGAGAAGAAAAAGCGAAAACAACGACAGCACGGGGAGGCAAATGGCGTGGAGAATATCAATGGAATCTTCAATGACAGCAAAAAACAGTTGTGCGGTCGTTGCAACGGTGCTTACTGTGCCACCCATTGCAGTCTGCATCAGCGGAGCCGACTTCACGGCAATATTGCGGAGAGCATCACCCACCTGAGAGATACTCAGTTCACCACCAGGGGGTACTTTGCCAATAAAACTCAAGGATCCTCTGCGTGGCGCATTGAAGGAGGACTGCTTCCGCCGAACATAAGCCTCATCTTCTTCCCTCGTTTCCACTCGACATCGTGGCGACCTTCCCTCCTCCTTTTCTGACGTCGGCGGAAGAACGGGGGAGCTTTGCACCTCGTCAATGGAAGGGTTATTTTCCAAACACCGACGCGAAAGGCCTCCAAAAATTCCTTCCAGGATACTATTCGATCGCCGATCCCGTAAATGTCGAAATGTCACGATATCGGATGAGTTGGCTTCGATGGGTTCCGCATCAATTGGCCGTTTGTTTTCATACTTTCCTTTACGCTTCCGTTTATTCCAACAGTCCCCGTAGTCCTCACCACAAACAGTGCGGTCCAACATCTCCACAGTTTCCTCCGTCTCAGTACGGGCATGAAAGTTAGTGGGACAATCAAATGTTGCAAGAGATGGCAGTTCTCCACAACCGCCTGAGTCTTCTTCTAACAGCTGCGCAGATGCGGGAACTTTTGCTTCGAGGGGCAACACGGGCGACCGCTGTTTACTCCACACTCCAGTTTTTGACACCCCATCGCCTGAATTGTTGTTGCCATGGGACGGAGGGGAGTTCATGGATGTAGCGGTGTTCGTGGGCCGATCGGCAGCAGAGGTACTACATCCACTGTTCTCATGGCCTACAGCCATGTTTTCGGAACCATTTTGCCGTCCCGTTTCCTTTTTTGTGCCGCCGCTGTTTTGTGAGAGGGGATCCTTGTCGAGTTCTACACCCGAAAGCTCGCTTCTCTCCCTGATGGAGGCAGGGTCTCCATGGGAGGGTCGGTAGGGGACCATGACGCAGCCATTACCACGGCGATGGCTGTCAAACATTTTGGCTGAACTTCGGCTGTACGGATTTCGGTATAATTTGGAATTTTGGCCGTGAATAACAGCGCCATCCATATTTTTGAGCCACCGCACTGGCTCACCGAGCAAAGGGGGCAAACTGCTCTCACTCTCACCGCGTCCCTTCAGGCACCGCAGTACCTTTTGTCGCCAAATTACATACTTCTCCCTCTCCCTATTTAACCATGCCATGGCATTTTTCACGTACTTGGCTCCGCTACCAAGTTTCCCATAGTAAACAAAAAAATAAGGGCACTGCGAAGAGGTATTGGGTGTGTTTTCAACGCTTATAGAAAAAGGCGGCTGTGAGTTACTATCCAAATCCAAAAAATCCAAACTGTTTTCATACGGTTTTACTGTGGAAGAGAGACTTTGGGACGACAAGAGAAGATCGCTTGTGCTGTTGTAATTGCTGTGGACAGTCCCCTTCGCAAGAGAGCTTTTGGAAATTTCACTCGTGTCTAGAGCACCCAGCGGTCCTTTAGGATCCATTAAAGGCGACATCTGGGTGCAAGCATCCTCTCTTTTTTTCAGTCGCTTCGGGGTGGAAGGAGTCTCTCCCTCCTCGTGACTCTCCGTGCTGTAAGAAAAATGAAGACACCGCGGCAATGAGGTGGAAGACCCCCTACACCTCGTGGTGGGCTGCACTCTTTTTGGCAGCCCTTTTTCCCGGTAACGGTTTGTGAAACTATTCCCTGTCGTAGATACATCTCCGCCACTCACAGCTGCATCCGTAAAACTATTGCTGGTGGCTTGCTGCGGAGGTAAAGGTTGCGGATTCTGCGCGGACTCCTCCTCTCCCTTCGCAGGGAGAGCCAACGGTTTATGCGTTCGCACACCCGAGTTAGCGTCACGCAGAAAAACTTCTGTTATCGTCGAACCGAGCCGTAAGTTGACGTCATGACTGTCGCTTCGGAGGCGGCTCCAGTTGGCGCAGTCTGGCGGCCCGCTCAGCAGCACTTTCCGCCGCTCGCCCGGCAGGAGAACACCGTCGGGGACTGTGGGCTCCAGAGGTGAAAAGAATTTTGGATGAGAGCAACGAAGCGAGAAGATGACAGCCGAGCCGTTCACTCCAGGCACGAAGGCGTTGTGTACAGAAACCTCCAAATTGCCATCAGGCAACAACGCCGTCTGGGCCGTTATGCGTAGCGCCTCCCCAGTCGCCATAATGGCCGCACAACACGCGGATTGTCGCTCAACTCCTCGTTGCAAACCCTCCGCCCTCCCCTCCCACCCACACACACCCCCTTTTTTCTTTTCTCTTTTATGGTTTCTTCGTGTACCCCTCTCTCTCCTATCTCGACCAAACCAAAGCCGGGGTGCTTGGCTATGAAAGAAAGAATTCAAGGAAGAAAAGAACAGAGAAAATCATAAGAAAAATCCCCCCTCCCTCCCCCTCTATCCACTCCCCAATGCAGCCTCCAAAAGAAAACTCAACGCTCATAAAGAAAACCACGTGGCTGTCATTTCCACCACCAAAAAAATTTTTTTTTTCACTCTATAAATAAATAAATAAATGCACATGCATGTTAAAGAGGCATTTTTGTTGCAGAAGAGGGGCTATGCGGAAACAAGCTGATATGCCCAGCAACACTCACAGACAAACCTCCATTCTTGTCTAGTAAATGCATCAAAAAGAATACACACACAACAGTGAGACAAATCTAAATACACTCCGAGTAGTAACTGAAATTTCTCGTTTTCCCCCTTCCCACTCACGTAAAAGCAGGAATCATAAAAAAAAAGAAGAAAAGATGCCACTACTTATCTGTGGTGGACTGCGCACGTTTGGCGGTTTTCTCCACGTCTGCCGCACGAGAAATTCGTTCGCGTGACCGTCGCGCGCTGTTTGGGTGAACTGAATGTGAGGAACCCAACCGAGCGCGCCGTGACAACACGCTTCTTTGTGGTGATTTACTCGGTTCATTGTGGCGTGGCTCCTTTTCTGTCCGCAGCTCAGCAGTCACGGAGAACACGGCATTTGTGTCATGGTGAAGAATCACCCACTCCCGCCCACGCTGCGTTGGTGACGGGCCGCTCCGCAACAGGCGTGCCTGCGACTCGTCAACTGTGAAGCACCCATCAATAGCCATGTGCTGGGGCATAAAAGAAATCAGCAACATAGCAATGCCCAGAAAACCCTCCCCCGCATCCGCGGGCGCTGAATTGTCTGACGTCTTTTTCGCTGCAGAGGCATGTTGCGGCACATTTGGGTTTTCAGGGGCAGAACGCACATGCATCGGGTCACACTGCTGCTTCTTTCGATGCGGATGAAAAAGTGGTTGATGCAATGAAGTTGCGGGTGGCGGCGCATGCGGGGGCTGCGACGGTCCTTGTTGTTGCGGGCTCATAATGTGGTCGTTGCTGCCAACACGGCTCGTGTTGCCCTCTCTTCTCTCGGCACAAAGCCATCCATCCTCCTTGCGTGGTGGGTCGCAATGGCCGCCCCGCAGTGCGGACAGATATTCCCCAGCCGTGCAGACAGCGTGCAGCTGATCAATATCTCCAAGGGCCTTTTTCGCAAGGCAGCGAAGTCCCTCGCTGTAGCCGTCCTTCAGGGCAAGAATCTCCGCTGTCAGTATCTCCTGTTCATGCTGCATGCATTCAATTTCCTCCCGCAACTTGTTGGCGCGTGCCGCCTGTTCTTCTTCACGCGTCACAGCTTCCTGCTTGGCTGCTTCCGCAGTGTGTGCGGCTTCTTGAGCCGACTGGAAACTCCGCTCCGCCTCCTCAACCCGTCGCGCCGCCGCATCATACATCACATGCACCTCCTCCAACTCCTTGAGAAGGCTTTCACGATCATCTTTCAATTGCTGCAGCTCCCGCATCAACTGCCGCACGCGAAGACGCAACTCCTCACACTCCTCTTGAAGTTCCTGGCGTTCCGTGTTTTTGGTGTCCAGTAGCCGGCGCAGCTCAGTGACAAGCTCCTTCCATGGCACGTCTTTGCCCACCTCCCCCGTTAAGGCGCTCTCCATCGTTGCCATAGCGTTTGACTTGATGTCAGATTCCCCCTCCTCTTCTACCGATTCGTAGACACTTCCAGACGCCTCCTGAGTTCCAATAACGCTGCGTCTTGGTGGGCTAGTGGGAGGAGGCGGCGGGGTCACAATACACGAGAGTCCCGCTACATCTTGTTCCTCTTCTGTATTCGTGGCTTCATCATTCTTCTCACGTGGAGTGGTCTGTGCCGCCGCCTCCACGCTTTGAACCATTGCCATGACCTCCTTGGATGCCACCATGGGTTCCCTCTTCTCCCATTCATTTACATCATGGCCCTCTAAAGCTGCAGTGTCCGTCGTGTCGAACACTGTTTGGGTCTCCCTCGAGAGACTCCCCGCATACGTCTCTGCGAGGGCGGTGGGGAACATCTCGCGGTACAACTTCCTGTTGAAGCACTGCGCAAAGTAATGTGCCCACTCCATGTGCTCTTGTGTGCTTTGTGTACGGAAAAGAACAGGCGGATTCACCACCTTGCCGCCGCTCTGTGTGTTGGGTTGCTTGGGGATGAAACCAAAGTAAGCGTGACTCGTGTCACCTGCATGTTGCATGGCAATGCAGGCCATCAACTCATCGTACCGATCCGGTCGCTTTCGCTGGACATTCAGTGATTCCCTGCCCTCATCTTCTTGGGAATTTACGGCATCGCTGGTATCCTCCGTCTCGCCTGCTTCAATGCCTCCAGTTTTCTTATTCTTCATTGTCGTCTCCGCCTTGAGCTTCTTCCTTCTGTTAATGAGGGAGGAAAAAAATTTGCTACTGCCCGACTCCTGCTGCCGCGTACGAGCGGGACCCAATGCTTCAGCCGCCTGGAGCAGATCCTCTCCGCCCACTGACACGTCGCGAAACGACGGCACAAAGTACTCCATGTCCCTAAAGGGCACTACAAGCAGCGTCCGCTGGAAAGCATGCCGTTTGTAATCCTCCTCACTGCGGTAGACAGAAAGTCCGCGGTCATCGGCCACAACAAAGTACGTGCGCCACGAGCTCAGGAAAAACCGAGCCGATGCTTTTTTGTGAAGCATGTCTGCTACATTGATCATCGACAGCACTCCGCAGACTTGTGCCATGCTGTAGGGAAGTCCAAGTGGCAGAGGTAAATTGGGGAGGCCATGCACATGAGGGGGTGCCCGGTCCACCAAAAGCAACGGGTCTCTTTCTCTGTTCTTCACTGCGCTTGCCAACGCGCCAAAGAAACGTGATTCCATTGCCGAAAATAAAGCATTGTATTTGCCGGAAGGACCTGACGGACACTGCCGGTACGCAGCGTAGGCAGCAAAACGATAACTGGTAGCCAGAGAACTACGCAGCCGCAGGATCTCTCGGTCCTTTTCCCGCACAAGATTAAGTACAAGACGGCTTTCTTGAGGCGTCACGTGCAAACTGAGGCGCTGTCGTGCCACGGGGTCCAACGCGGTGATTGACGAACTGGTTTCTTTACCGTTGCTTAAACTCAATTTTTCTCCTCCCCATTTATTCGGCTGATGAGACGCCACAGTTGATAATTCTTCATTTTGTTGCAACAGTGCGTAAAGGATGCGCTCGGCCGCGGCGTTGGGGTTCTGGTATTGCCCCACAGCTCCACTGTCGGGTAGAGTTGACTGAATGACAGAGAATCCATCTGGGCCGTACACGGGAGCCCATGAACTTCCGGCGAGAACGTTTTCATTCTCACACATTGAAGGTTTCCACCCGCGGTATCGATCCTGCGTGCTAATCTCTGCTGAGGGTTGCTCAATGTGTAGACGCGGCGACGTGGTTTTTGTTGTAGCGTTCACACCCTCTAACTTTATCGACTCACGGGCCCTGCTGAGATCAATTGATGCGTCCGCTGCCCCGTGCGATGGCGCTGACGGCAATGGCGATAGTGATGGCGCCGCCCTGTTTGTCGCTGACGCGCTGTGGCTGCGGCCAGCATTACTCATATGGTCTAACGTGCTGCTACTCATGCGCCCAAACGCCGCGGACACATCCACCAGTGGCCGGGGCGAGTGCACAGTTTCCCCAACAACCGACGGTGTATGTTGTTCCCAGCCATGGCGGGCATGCTCGGCATGGTCCTCATGGATATCGCCCTGGGGAGCAACAGCGTCACGACCGCCTCTACTGTCAAAGTTCTCGTAAGGTTTAAGAGAGAATCGCGTTTCCCTCCACTCTTCTTTCGGTTGTTCGACGTTTTCTCGTCCCCGCCTCACTCCATCCATGCCGTGTGCGAGGACCCGAGAACTTCTCATGCTGGGTCGCTTCAACGCCCGCTGCAGGCCTATGTCATTCACCAACCGGGGCTGCAGCGTGTCGCTCACCCGCGGAGCCCCTGGCTCGTAGGCCCCGCCATCATAATCCGCATACGAAGTGTAGGCGCTGTCGTGCCTGTCCCAACTCGCAACACCGCCACGGTGCCCCATTTCATGCTGTCCGCTCCATTGCCTCTCGTCGAAAGAGTCGTGGTCAAAGAGACGTGCGTCGCGCTCCCTGCGTTGCTGCGGCCGTAAAAAGGCCCCTAGTGAAGGATTCTTACGCATTGAGCGTCTCACGCTCAGAGAAGAAAGCAAGAAAAGAATAAAGAGTGATATATATATATATATGGAAAGGAAGGGAGAGAGTAGGAGAACAGAAATACGCTCGAGCAACACTCCCTCATTTTCTCTTTTTATTACATTCAAGCAGCGGAACACACTCTTTCTTTGCCCGCAGACAACACTGCGTAGTGGAGAACTGCTCAAGAACAAAAGAAAAAAAAATATATATATAAACCATATATGCCCCTGCAAAGAAAAAAGAAATGGGAGGAAAAGAGAAAAGGGGCAACGAGAGAAGGGCGACAAAGCCCATCTTTCCCACCAAGAGGAAAAAAAAAAAAAGACAAACACCATGGGCGGAGACACACATGCAGAAAGCATCATTGGACGGAATCCATGGAATCCATTTACCACCTCTTTTTTCTCTCGTCCTTCTCGTCTCTCTCGGCCATTGGGGGGGGGATCACTGTACATATTATTTGTTTCCTTCTTTTTAGTTGATCAGTAGGGGCGTTCAAGGCTGTAGCCAAAAAGCTCCGCGTGGTCGGCGTCGTCAGGTCTCCTGTAAGCCGTGGCCGACTGATTCATACGCGCCGCCGAATTTAACAGGCGCGAGGCAGCAAAATGGCCCTCACTTTTCATCGCCAATGGCACTGACCATCCGATGTCCTGTGCGGATGTCTGCGGCTTCTTGTACTTTTCCTGCGGGGACAGTGCGTTGCGTGCCTTCAGGTACATGGCAGCGGCGCCACGTGGATTCACACCGTCATTGCGGAAAAGGATGGTCTGCAGGGCATCATTGTCCTTGCGGTAGGCCTCGATTCTTTCCGCCTCGCGCTCCAGTGTGCGTTCGAGGGCCTCAACGCGTCTCTTCTCTTCACCCTTATTGTACTTTTTCGACCAGTTGCTGTGGATCCGCTCCTCCGCCTCCACTTGGGCCTGCCAGCAGGACGAGGCGCCGTGACTAGTTTTGAAGCCCATGGCTATCGTCACGGAGGGCTTCATGCTCTTCTCGTAGAGCTGCGGGTTGACGGAGGGGCATTTGAACTTTTTCTTGGACGTCATACTTCCCTCGACGCCCTGGACGCGTCACTGGGCGTGTGCAATGTGGCTGCGTGCGTTTACGGTTGGATGGATCCAGACAAACCCTCTTTTTTCCTTTTAATTTATTGCCGTCGTTCAGCAGAGACACAGCAGGGAAGAAGAAAAAAAAAATCAAAGAAGGCAAGTGAACCATGCATGCACACATGCGATGACATTCCAGAAAAAAAGAAAGAAAGAGAGAGAAAGAGAGGGAAAGGAGTGAATAAAATAAAAGTAAGATTGCAAAGAGTAAACACAATGGCAATCACGCGGGGACCACCGCTTTCTTTTTTTTTTTTTTTTCTTCTTCTTGTTGTCCTTATGAGAAAATTTTGATGATTGTTGTCTCTAAGCCGCCCAAACACGCACACTTGTGCAGAGACTCACGCACAATAAAAATAAACAAACATCACCACCATGCTCACAGAGAAATAATAATTATCGACCAAAAGACACGTTTACATATGTAGGTGTATCTGTAAACAGACAGAAAGCCTTCTCCGTCCCTTCCCTCAATACTTTCTTCTCTCGTCTCCAGGGAAATTAAGAAGAAGAAGAAGAAGCAGAAAAAGGGCAAGTTATATATTCGGCTACCGTCAAAGTGCCCAATCTTTCATCTTCACAGAGCCATACGTCTTTGGGAGTTCAAGCACCGGGTAATCCTTTCCCACGGGCGATACTTCAAACATCGGGGAGTGCCCGCAGTACCGAAGCAATTGGTAGCGTATGGACAGTTGAACTTGCACCCCCGCAAGTGCCCCAGGATGCGCATCCTCCAAAGTGTACTTCTGTGCGTTTTCGAGCGACCACTGCGCCGCCGCCGCCTTGCTTTTGAGCACGGTGTCGAGGAGTATCACTTCGTTCACAACGTAATTCTCCGTGCGATAGCGGGCGACACAGGCAACGTACACTGCCTTTGTGTTCCAGTCCCACACCGGCGAGAAGTCTGCCCTCAGCGTAAACTTAAAAAACACGTAGTCCCGCAGCGGCGGTGGTTTCTGGCCCTGGGCGTAAATGACCGGCATTGGCATCCGCATCAGCGGCGACATGGAGACGTTGAAGACTGAGATGATGGGTGATACATTTTTTGGGCCCAGCGGTGCGAAGCTGCTGGCCACAACGATGAACAAGCCTAAAAAACCCACCGACACTGACATCGTCAGAATCTCCAGGACACGCTGGGAGACGCTGTGCATCTTCTCCCCTTCTTTCGTCGCTTCACCCACCCCAAGGCAATCGACCTTCTCCTACCCCAAATTCCTGCTTTCCTCTTCCCGCGTCGCCTCCCCTTCCCCGCTCCCTACAGAGTAAGTAAAGACAAAAAAAAAAAAAAAAAGGAGGTGTGTGGGGAGGAGAAAGAGAGAAATACATGTGAAATGTCAACAGGCAGATATAAGGGGATGATGCCTCCAATTGAACTCACAATATCCCATAAAGAGCCGTGTGTGTATGTGCGTGCGCGTCTGGGAGGGAGAAATGATCATTTCAGGGTCCAGCATGATACAACACGGCGGTAATGGAAAAAACGCAGTCGTGGGGAACACCAGAGCTTTTACGCGTCACCGTGTCGAAGTCGCTCCTTTTGAAGGGTGTTGAACGCACCACGCAGCTCCTCGTATTGGGCCCTAAGCTGTGGTACGCTGCCGCCGTCACTTTTGCACCA